TCAAACAGCAGTCGCTTTCTGAAACATCAGATATGTATCGGATTCAGCACCACATACGAAAGTGACCCAGATCGGATTTGAAAATATCGGATTTGTGCCGTTCACACTGTCACACCATGATCGGATAGATGGTCGCAGAGGGTCAGAAAAATCAGATTGATGCGCTTTTGCCTGCAGTGTGAACGCAGCCTAAGAAACAAATACAGAGAACATGACAGCAGGGAGACACACGTGACAGATAGAAGGACACGACGGGAGACGTGTAGCCAAGATGGGACGAGACCCAGAGGGAGACAAAGACAGCACTGAGACACACAAAGGGAGACTTAAACACAGGGGACGTGACAAAGTGGGGAAGAAGACACAAGGACATAAACAGAGACACACAGAGAGGGACACAAAGGACAAAGACACAAGTGGAGCCTAATAACAAAGAACTGGTCATAAGTAAGCTGAGAGACTTTAAGAGTGAACTCAGAAATAACCAGTTAAACAAAAATAATCCTGATAATACAAAACAGAAAAGTCAATGACGCTCTGCCAGATTAGCTACATGATAAAACAATAATAAACATGTAAAGGTATCATCTCTGTCCAGTGAGCTTCTGTTGAGGTTTGTTCATGAGAGCAATGACGTACCTGAGACGAGGAGCTGCAGGCGGGCTGATGGACTGAACGCTCAAAATTCTCCATCTGATATAAATCTGATGTTTCTGCCTCCTCCCACATCAACATGAAGTATGTAAAACCAGATGAAGTGTGAGTAATCGTTCATTAGAGTCCATTTGTTTAGAAGATGACATATTCAAACTCGCTGCAGATGCAAACGGGCTGTTAATTACAGCTAAATGAGGTCATAAGTGTCCATCCGTGAAACAAAGACCGAGCTCGTGCTCAACAAGCAGGATGTCGATGGGTTTCCCTCAGTTTCCCTCAGTTTTCCCTCAGTTTCCCTCAGTTTCCCCTCAGTTTCCCTCAGTTTTCCTCAGTTTCCCCTCAGTTTCCCTCAGTTTCCCTCAGTTTCCCCTCAGTTTCCCTCAGTTTCCCTCAGTTTTAAGTCTCAGACTCGTCCCTTTACCAAACCTTTATCCAAACGTCACATTTTCCGTGTTTCTTCTGCATTGTTTGTCTTTAAAGACGGACACGCTTGAAAACATTGGTGTCTTCATTTGAATTGGAAGCAGCATTTTGTGTGTTTGCCTTTTGTGTTTGCATAGATGTTAGAGACTTTCTGCCTGACAACTTCAGGGTTATTTGAGTAATGTTGTAATTAAGATAATTCCCGCGAAGGCTTTACGCATCATCTAAACAAATCTGCGATGAGCAGGATGAAGACACAACCTGAGACATTTAAATCCTAGTCATAAAAACATCCTAATGGCTCACTCACTTCATTCACTGATGTTGGAGCAGTCATTTGTTTTCCAACATTTTAGTGTTGCTGCATCTCCTCGTGTTGTATTTGAAAACTGCAGATATAAAATTTTCATGCATCATTTGCTCTGCATGCGTTTTATGCAAACATGGTTTTCTGTGTAAAAAGCAAAGTTTCACTCCAACGATGAAATCAACCTGACATTTTACTAAATGAAAAAGAAGAAGAAGTGACATCAGAAATATTTGCTCATGTTGAATTTGATGCCAGCAACACGTTACGTCCAAAATAAATCAATAAATACAAATAAAAGTTTCCCGATGTCTGATGACACGTCGCCCGTCCTCAGGCCTGATGGATTGATCCAACACTCCATGTAATACACTACTGTGTGTGTGTGTGTGTGTGTGTGTGTGTGTGTGTGTGTGTGTGTGTGTGTGTGTGTGTGTGTGT